GTTGATTACGTCGATTAAGCATTATGAGGTGGAGCGTGAGGGGTGGTTTCCTATTTTTTATTTATTTATTTTTGTTGTTGCTGGGAGTTGTATTAATATTTACACTAAGTACTCTTTAAAATACCAGAATAGGGAGGATGGTGTAGGTTTAAGTTTATTAGATTGATCAGTATTGCTGAACTATGAAATATTTTTTTTGCATACAGGTATAACAGAATAGCTTTAGTGTTGTTGTTGTTTTAAACTTGAGTATGAACTTATACAAAATGCAGCAAGATATTTAAAAAACAGTTTTATTGATTAAAAAACACTATATCGGATTCATATCGGTATCGGACATAAAAAAGTGGTATCGTGCCATCTCTAATATTAATATTACAAAACAAAAACTGTAAAATGTCAATTTAGACAGAAGTTGTCAGGGACCTGGGTCTGAGCAACCCAGGGTCCATGAAAGTTGTGACTCTTTTTATATGATATGTGTTTGTTTCTGCACTGTGCTGCTGTTTCTGTGTCTATGCTTGTGTTTATTGGTGTGTGTGTGTGGCTGGGGCAGGCAACTTCAGGCCTGGTGGGTGTGGTCCTGCCAGGTGTTTGGCCACACCTGAAGATCATCACACACCTGGAGCTGATCAAGCCTCATCGGGGAACTACTTAACAGTGTGGCTGAGCACTCCTCAATGGGGGGCTGTTGTGTGAGACTCCATGTCAGTGTCTGAACTAGTTTAAAGTCAGAGAGTTTATGCCTGCTAGAGAGTGTGTCCTGACAGCTGTCTGTTATTTTCTCCTGGGAGAAGTGTGGAACAGCAGAGACACAGAAGCTGAGAGCAAAAAACAGGGACTTTTGGGAGAAGACACAAGATGGGTGTTGAGGGGATGCACAGGGATTTATTGGGTTAACATTTACTTCACTGTAAATAAACGCCCTGTTCACCGCACTGTCCAGCGTTTGGGTCCTCCTTTCCCCGGCTTTCCCACAGTCTGTCACACAGACCGTGACACAAGTGCTTCCAATCGATAAGATCAGTGAGTTTAGAAACTGTCAGCAACCAGCTTCTATAAACTATTACATAGAAGTGTGGTTGGGGCAGTAGTGCTTGATCTGACTAAAGCATTTGATTCAATAAACCAGGCTTGGGAACTCCAGGCCTAAAGGCCCGGTGTCCTACAAATTTTAGAGATGTCCTTGATCCAACAAAGCTGATTTAAATGGCTAAATGACCTCCTCAGAACATCTTTAAGTTCGTCAGAGGCCTGGTTATGATCTAATCATTTGATTCAGG